TTTCCTGAAACCTCTCGGCTTCCTAGACTGATACAGGGAGTAGTTCCCTGCAGTGAGATACTGGATGCTGCTATAAAGATGGGGAAAACATTTTGAGGGAGACTCTTTCTGGATAAAGAGTGCTCGTTCTGGTGGCTGTGAGGACGGCTGAGTTCTTGAAAATGAAACAGAGAGGAAAAGCTGTAGTTTAAGATTAATTTGTAATATTAAATTGCTACTTCCTGCCAGGGTTGTGCCTGCAGGATGAGGATAGGAGATGGGAAGGGTGTGGTAAGATGGACAGAAGATATTTGTCACTGAAATATGTATGCTTAGATCGATCTTAAACCAGGAATAAGACTTGGGGATTATCACATTATTCCTTCTAGTTACCTGTAACAGATACAGATGTCCATTTGTCCTTTTAGAAATGCCTTGCCTGTAATGTAACACATTCCCACTTCCTTATCACAGCTTCAGATCAGGCTGTAGCCCCAAATCCTCTCCCCTAGGCATGCTAGAACTCTCTGTCAGAGGTCAGTGGGATAGCTCGTTAAAATTTCTTCATAAAAAGACCTGCTTCCTTCAGTTTTCAAGGATCAGAAGCTGCTGGTGCCATTGAAGGAGCCCGAGAGGGATGGATGAGATATTAGTGCTAGCATTGGGAAGCTGAATTCTGAAAACCTCTGCCCACCTAGCACTGGGATGTGTTGCTTCTGTGGTGTGTGTGTGTCCCCTTATGGTGTTTAAATGTGCAAAATGTCAATATTGACTCTGTTGTGACTAGATCTTATCAGGTTGGGCATTTCCTACTCCCTCTGTGCCTTGCAGGTAGTAGGGCTGACTGACGTAAACACACTGGTGGGGGAACTATTGAGCAGCCAAGTGCTATCAGGAACTGATTTTGCTGCTTTATAGTGTCTGGATCTTGTTCTAGATACCTTCTTCAAGGGGAGATGAGAAATTGAAGTGCTTCTTGGAGTAAATCTAGGTTGTGGGGTTTTTTTTTTTTTTTGCATTGGGGTTTTCAGTCTTGTGTGAGTTGCGTAGATGACAATTGTGTGACAGCTGCTGGGTTGCTGGAATCATCTGAAATGGTTTGTGTTCTAACCTTTCTAAACAGCAATCTGGGATTCAAAATGGCATTGTGTCTTCTGGGTTCTGTTTACTTACACAAGCAGTGTGTAATCAGTGTGACAGTCATGCTCCTCTTCAACATTTCTTGGGTGGTAGAACAAAGGCTGGGGATTGGAGGCTGCTGGGAGTACCTGTTTACAGTAAACTTGCAGCTGACATCGGTGATTAAAGCTGATTCCAGCAGTTCCTTGTTGGAGACGGATGACTACCTAATCTTGTCTCTTCTGGCATAAAACCTTCCTGGCATTTAAAAAAACATTCCCCATGCATCTACCTGTATAAACAACAGTATCTCAGAGGCACACGGGTCCCTCGTTCCAAACAGCTTTGGCCACGTCTCTCCTCAACTTGACTTCCTGGTCTTCTGCTGAACTTGCTGCCTAATCCATGGAAAATGCAGATAACAGGAGGATGCTCCTCTCTGCTCAGAATTTTCCACGGTGTTTTGGAGGTGCTTTTTTTTTTTTCCCTTATTTTGCAAGACGCCATTAAGCCTAGTGTATCTATCTCTTATCTCTTTGGCAAGAGGAAGTTGTTGTCTCCCCTTCCTGATGGGGAGGATTTGAAAGCCTCGCTCTTACCGACGGTACCTGCCTGCCTCCCTGAACATACTTCTCCTCCTCCTCCTCTTCCTCCTCCTCTGATGGCTGCTGACTCTCCCTTGCCTGTGTACATGGTGAGAACGTGGCATGATAAACCTGAATTCACTCTTATCTCCCAAGTGGTGTAGCTAGTTCAGCCTAGAAATAGATTTCTGCAGAACTTCTGTAGCTTGTTGTCATTTTTTATTTGATTTTAAACTGTTGCTGTGCCCCGAGAACTGTCTCTGGCATCACACCATGTGTAACAGGCTGCTCACTTGGTTCTCGAGGCACCTGCTGGATTTTAAAAGGTCCTAAAGCAACCAATACCTGGAAAGGAATTGGAATATGGAATTATTTCTAATTTTTAAAACCTAAATAACGAGGTCCTACTGAAATTATCTCTGAATTGATGCAGATCTTGCTCACCTGGCAAAGCTAGGTTTTGTGACACAGCACCTGGGTCTGAGTTTGGAGCCAGAGCTGACTCGGTGCCTGTTCCTGCAGTGCTGCAGCCTCGGTGACACCAGCCCCGGGTTTTGGTGGCCGAAGTCACTGTATGAGCCCGTGCTTGTCACTTTCCTCTGGAAATACTGAAGCCCAAAGAGAGGGAAGGTCTTAAAAGATGTCAGACCTGGTATTTAAGGCTTTTGGGCTGTCTTACCAGTAGTGTTGTGTATAAGCCATGGTGGTTCTTACCTGCTGCTGAACAGTAAAAGATTTCATGCGGGGCAGGTAGATCTGGTTGGGAGCTGCTCTGAGCACTGAGTGACAGAGGAAGACTGTTATGGGGGCTGGAGGGACCTTGGAAGCAAGGGGAGGCTCTTAAATGCATCTTTAAGAGTCATAGCTGAAGCCTTACCTACTCCAGGAAGGAATTAATTTTTCCCCACTAATTTTAGTGAAGACAATATAGTGGTAATATTCCTGTGTTACCATTCTTAAGGAGATTATAACATGCTGCGGGCTCTAATACTTTCAAGTGTATTAGTGCTTACTGTAAGTCATAATTTAACTTCAGGGTTGCTGAGAATTCTGGTTTTGCAGAGAACTGAACCACCAAAACTTCCTGCTGAAGTAGGAAGGAGCTCTTTGAAGGCTGAGGCAGTTGCAGCTTTGGTTTATGCACGATCCTGGGGCAGAAGGCAGAGGTTTAACAGTGGACCAGGTCTCAGAGCTGCCCCACCTTACCTTGGGCTCCAGATTAAGTAGAGTTTCTGTCTCGGGCAACTAAGTTATTAGGGTGGTCAGAAGTTTTAAATGTCTCTAGCTACGGTTGTTAGTGGGTGTAGCCTCTTGCCTGGGTGCCTGGGTGGTGGTTGAGAGGCAGCAAAGCTGGGTAGCTGGGGGATCACTAACACCGGTCAATACAGTCCCACTTCAGTCATCCTTAGGCTTAAAACACACATTTCTTAAATTTTTCTTTTGTGCTAAAGCATAGCTGTGCCTTCTCAACCACTGCCTCATCAGTGTGGCTGCAGTGGTGTGTTGAGAAGGGATTTTGGTGTCACCTTCTGGGCAGCCCCAAGCTTCAAGAAAGGTGTGTTTTGTCAGCGGTCACTAGCGTCAGGGTATGAGCAGCAATGATGCCTCTGCAGGAGCATTGCCTCAGTGATCTTGAAGCTGTTAAGATATGCGGGTTATGATGTAATGTAACTTATCTCCCCTGAACAGTTTGGGTTCCTAACTGTCATTTTCCTAAAACCATCTTGCCTTGTATCAGTACAAGACTTGACAGGTGGGGTGGTGAGTTTTGTGACTATAAACTGCTAGATATCCTTTGACTTGGATTATTTTTATTTTTTTTTAATACCTTGAGTGCTTTTAGCTTTACCCTTTGGGGGAAGGTTGTGTTTTTAGGGATCAGTGTCCATTTCCCTTCTCCCTAAGCCTTGAGAAGTGCTGTGGAAGGTGGTGAAGGTTTCAGCAGAGCATTTCCTTGCAGCCTGGGACCAGCCAAGGTGCCAGTCGTTGAGAAGCCGAGGGGTTGACCATCTGCTTGGCTGTTATCAGCTGGGGATGGATGCAGTTTCCTGGCTGGATTCCTGCCAGCCAGAGTCAATGGTGATGTTGGTAGGGAATAATGGGGTGGGGAATGGTTGACTTCAGGCATTTGCATAAATCTTCTCTTCTCAGTTTGGTTTAAGGGGGCATAGAAATAGGTCTGTTGTGAACTTGGGTGGTTAAATGAGGACAGGACTTAATCCTGGACACTACAGGGCTGAAAGCTGTAAACCTGGAGTGGGTTAGTTTAGTGCTTACAAAGCAAGATAACTTGGGTAAGTGGTGCTTTTTCTCTGTTCCTTGATTTCTGGTATTAAACCGTCCCATTAGTCTTGTGACTGAACACAAAACCTAATGTTTTGCCAGCAAGGAAATACACACTTCTCTTGGAAGTATAAGTCTGGGTTGGTCATTGATGATACTGGGCTTCCTCCCTCAATACTGGGAGGAGTCAATATTGAGCAAAGCAATTATTGTCACCCCCAGTGGTGTGACTTCAGGATTACTAATACCACACCTGACTTCCTGGAGAGAACGAGTGTGTCCTCATCTGGCAGTGGCTTTAGCTTTATTTTAATTTCTGAAAGCCAGGCGGAGTGTGTGGTCACTGTCAGCTGTTAATAGTAGGAATTGTAGAAAGTAGAAAGTGTCTATGGTGGAAGGTGGGTGTTCGTTTTGCTGTAGAAGGGCCACTAAATGTGGTGTTAACAATTTATACATTTGAACTGCATGATGCACTAGCGGATTCTGCTGGAACTTAAATTTGGGGAACTTAACTTGGGAGAAGAATTAGCTGCTTTTGGTCAGCTACGTGGTGTTTGTGAAGCTGAGCAGTGGAAGAGAGCCTCTGACTTTAAAGAGGAGAGGAAGATAATGGCTGTGGTGGACAGCAGGCTGTTACTGCCATCTGTGTGGCACCTGAGTCACTCAACCAAACAACGAGGCTTGCACTTAATTGCTAAGCTTGATTCTTAATATTAACCAGACCACAAGGGGCTGAAGTAGGACTGTGGTAGTCTTGGTGATAGCCAGGCTAATATCCCCAGAGTCACTTCCTAGGAAAGCACAATTCTACACAAAAATGCTGTGTTCGGGGCATCTACCTCACACTTGCCTTTCCAAATAAATTGTGGGAGTGTCTAAACCGGGTGGAGAATCTTGGAGTTGCAGGTGACTTCCCTAGTGGTGAATTAACTTACCTTTCTCAAATGTCATAATACAGTGGCTGTCAGCAATTTGGTTCTTAGTAGTGTTTTTCATTAAGTGTCTTAAATATGTATTTTTTTTTCCCTTCTGCAGTGACTATTTATTCAAGCTACTTCTGATTGGAGACTCCGGTGTTGGGAAATCTTGCCTTCTACTTAGGTTTGCAGTAAGTGATCATGCTTGAAAATTTTATGTAAAAAAGCTACCAGGTAATTAGCAAGAACTACTTGAAAGGACCGATGTCTGTCAGGTCTGGTATACTGAGGAATAATTAAAGTACTGCAAAGCCCTCTTCTGCATTTGTTTGTAGCTGATAGATTTGCTCATCAGTGAGTAATATGGAAAGAAATAATACCGAGACTATGTCCAGTTAAGTCTAATTTTGATTTTCTTAAGAACCAGAAGATAACTTAATTTAACTTCCATCATTACCGCTAGTGGTAGAACACTGAAGATGGAAGGACATGCTTGAATTCTGAGATGTGTGCCTTCAGGCATGAAGAGTACAAATGTGTCAGGGTAAGGTCTTGATCGGTTACTGCTTGATCTGAATATTTTCAGCCAGATGAAGTTGGAGATCTCCATTGAAAAAGCCTACCAATTGCTTAGCTAGAGGGAGAGTAATTGAAATAATACCCTAGGAATTATAAGGCCTTATGGTTCTTCTAGTGAATGAATATATAATAATTGTTAAAACTGCCAGTGGGCTGATGGGGCTGAATTTTAATGAAAGAAGCTGCAGTTTTCTCGTCAACAGGAAAAGTTAAAATGGGTTTGACAGGTCTTGGTAGAAGAAGCTGGACTCTGTGAATACCTTATCTCTGCCTGTGCCAAAGTGCAGCTTTATGTTGCTGTGGGAGGAGAGGCAGGAAGGGAGAAAATGGGGCATTGGTTTAGACACTAGAGTTTGGTACCACTGCAAGATGGTGGTGGTGGTTTCACAGCTGGAACAGAAGATAACTTAACTTCCATCATTACCACTAGTGGTAGAACACTGAAGATGGAAGAACATGCTTGAATTCTGAGATGTGTGCCTTCAGGCTCGAGGCACCTCTGGAAAGGGCCTGGTGTGCTCCCTTATTGTTCACAAACAGCATCACCTAAATCAGAGTACGACAACTGCTGCTAGGGCAGTGTTAGGGCAGGGCGAGGCGAAAACCAGTATGAACACTGGAAAGATGTGACCTGCTCTGCTCACAGGGCTGGAGGTGGTGGATTGGAAGTGACACTCGGGCTGGAGCGGTGCTCCCAGCTCAGTCTGGCCGCCTTCTCTTGCAGAGGCTTTTGAATTAATTTTGATATCAGCTTAAGGAAATCAATGCCATGTCATTCTGAAAGGCTTAATGCTTTATTCTTACTTGCTGATGTATTATCTCAGGTGTCTTCCATTCACAACCCAAAGAAACCCCTTGCTTTTGTGGTAGCTGTTGGTTACATGAAGCCTTCTGTGGTATATTTTACCTGAGGGTCTCTCCTACTGGTGCTTTGGGAATGGAAAGCTTCCTTCATGCTGGTGGGTCACTGGAAGGGGGGCACAGAGTGATCCAGTGCTTTCTGTGAGCTTTAAGGTCTGCTGGAGGCTGCTGAAACCAAGTGCTGGGTTTTCCTTGCTGTGTTTAGAAGCTGTGGAGCAGGGAACTGTAGCAGGAGTCCCCAGGCTGTAACTCTAAACTGCCTCAGCCACCAGCCCTGGCAGCAGAGGGCCTGAAATCCAGACACCGAGCGCCTCTGAGCCATGGCCTCTCGCCTGGAGGTAGCTCCTGCGTGAAACAGATGAAAAACCATTGGAGGAAAATAAAAATCTGAGGGATTTTAATACCCATAATGGTTATTTTAAGTAGCTCTTTAATCTGCCAACAGGAACAAAGACTTTTTTAAAAAAAAAAAAACTACAGTTCAAAAGGACTTAACGCTATTTCCAGAGATTAGTTTTATTGACTAGTTTTTTGGAATGTAAATCTTGTCGTGTGAGGTGCTGCTTTTTAAAAAAAAAAACAAAACAACCTGCTGGACTTCACTGTAAATGATCAGAGGGGACTGAAGTGCCTTTGCCTGCCCAGTGCAGGCTGAAGGAGGCGGTGGCAGGAGAGGTGGAGCAGGCTTGACTTCTCTTTGCTCTTTCTCCTAGGATGACACGTACACAGAAAGTTACATCAGCACGATCGGTGTGGACTTCAAAATCAGAACTATAGAACTAGATGGGAAAACAATCAAGCTGCAGATAGTAAGTAGTTATTTCTCAACTCCCAGGTACTTTAATCTGTTGAAGCGCAGAATTACACTCGTCACTATCGGGTGGTTATCTTTGTACTTTACTCGTTAAAATATAAGTGATATCTTCCCTGTGACAAGAGGCTGGGCAGGTTTTTTTACGAGGTTACAAGACTTGCTGTGACCCTGCCCTTAAAGAAGGATGATGCTTATCATGGCTGGCTGCCTGATGGAGGAAGTGACCTCTTACAAATCACATTTTCCTGGGAAGAAAAGAAACCTTCAGTATCTAAAAGGCACCGTGAGCTGAAGGGCAGAACCCTCTCTCCTGTATCAAAACTGGGGTAGTTCTGCAGCGTTTAGCAAGGATGTGTGTGAATGTTGGGAATATCCCTGCCTGAGTTCTACAGCAGCTGTGAGTAACCGGCTGCACCCTCTGCTGCTGGAAATGCAGCTTTTGTTGACCTGAATGGAAAAACTGACACAAACGTGTTGTAACCGGCCTGTCTGCGCTTCCCACTCTTTTCTGGTTACGCTGTTGGCCTTTCACTTGGGATACGCAGGGGAAGGGACTTGGCAGTTCTTCCCTCTCATCTTGAAGCACTCTAAAAGGGTGGCCGGTGGAATGAAATCTAATATCTGTGCAAGGTCACACAATCCTTGTCAGCCACTGCTTCCAGCTCCAGCAGAAGCTCCTGGGACTTGAAGGCAATGACTCAGGGATTTCCAGGCCGTGTTGTGGGGCAGGAGTGAGCCCAAACCTCCGGGCTGTGGTGTAGCTGTCCTGAGCATAGAGCAGCCCCTGAGGAAAGGCTGTCACTGCCAAAATCTGCCCGTGTTTGATACCTGAGTCCTGCTCCTGACAGAGCTCCAGGAGAAGGAGCTGGGTTGGGTGTGAGCTGTTGCGTTTCATCCTCTGAAGAGGGCACTGCTGTTAAATCCTCCTGCTGCAGCTCCTCTGCCAAGGAATTGGAAGGGAGTGGTCGTGTTAGAGACCCACATCCCTCTGACCTTATTCCTAACAGGTTTTCAAATGCTGGCTTTGCATTTCATCTTCTGACCTCTGTACCGTGGCTTCTTCAGGGGTCAAAACTGCTTCCCGTTTTCCTCAGTGACATCCTTTGGCTAAGCTTGTCTGAAACCAAACGAGAGCCTCTAAAAAAGCACCTACTGAAGTGTAATTCTTCCCAGTTAAAATATCTTGATCTTCTCAAATCCTGTTTGTGTAGGGTTTTGGAGGCATTTCTGTGGCTGTAACTTAGATCAGCTTGTAGCTGGCTGGCTGATCCGGCCAAGCTTGTGTTTCTGGAAGGTGCTGTGCACCAGTAGAGCTGCGCTGCAGTAACTGGTCCTGTCCTTTGTCTTGCAGTGGGACACGGCGGGACAGGAGAGGTTTCGAACTATCACTTCCAGTTACTATAGAGGCGCCCACGGCATCATAGTGGTGTATGACGTTACAGATCAGGTGAGTGCTGAACCTCTGCCTGGGGGGTTTCCCCAGGTGGAATATACTGGGCTGCTCAGGAAATAAAACTGGGAATTTAAGGACTTGGCACTTCTTAAGGAGACAGTGACCACGGTCTTTGTGCCGTGTTAAGGTGTATCAAGCCTGATGTGTCAGTCTCTAGTTTGGGGCTAAACACAGAACTAAAAGGAGCGGTGGGATCTGTGGCTCCACAGCAGTTGTGTCTTAGGCTGAACCTAAAACTTGCTGGGCTTGTCCTGTGTGAGCAGTTCTCACCCTGCCTTTGGTAGCAGGAAGCCTGGGGGGTTGTTGAAAGGTTTCTGAATGTACCTGAACTTTGGTCTACAATAAAAAACTGGCATTTGAAACAAAATTGTCAGTGTGCGTGCAGGGCACAGCTGAGCCAGTGTTGTCTGTGAAACAACCTCTGAAGATGACTGGTGCAGTTGCCCTGTTTGAAGGGCTCTTGGGAAGCGTGGAGTTATTTCAAATTTTTGGGAAGCGTGGAGTTACTTCAATTTCTCAAATTAACAGGAAGAAGAGTAATGGGGTTCAATCACTAATTTGAGTGTCTGCTCAATGTGGCCGTTCTGTATTTTGGGAGCCAAAGTTTGTTCCAGTGTCTCCACAACACTCTGGTTTGCACCTCAGCCCTGGTGCTCTGTAGAAGGCCTGGGCTTCTGCTTCCAGCTGCCTGCTGTGTCTGTTATCTCCCTTACAGGAGGAGGAGGAGGAGTCCCAGATGGGAGAAGCTGTTGACTATTCAAGATGGGGAGCAGGGAAAAGCAGTGAGGGGTGGGGGTGGAGGAAGGGCTGATGGTGTAGGGCTTGGAGCACAGATGGGGACCCTGTGGTGACTCCCCTGTCCCCAGGCAGCCGGGGGAGCACTGTAGGGTTGAAGGAGAGTTTTTCTCTTTCCTGGTTGTGAAGTGCACTGCTTCATGTTCTTGCCCAGTTGTTACTGAACACTGCTGAGCTTTCCTCTGGGTTTGAGGGCCTTGCTGACAGTTCTCTTATCTCCTAGGAGTCTTTCAATAATGTAAAACAGTGGCTGCAGGAGATAGACCGTTATGCCAGTGAAAATGTCAACAAGTTGTTGGTGGGGAACAAATGTGATCTGACCACAAAGAAAGTAGTAGACTATACAACAGCAAAGGTATGTGGCTGGGGATGTGTGTGTTTGTCTTGGTTGAGCACCTGGTGTGGCTGGTCATGCCCTTGAGTAAGTTCTGGTACAGGAAAGTGTCCTGGTACCCGGATGGGTAAATAAATAAATGGAGATGGCTCAATAATGACCCTGGGCAGCAAAAGTCACCGTCGGACCGGAGTTTTGGGGGTGAAAGGGGGTGACCTGGGAACTTGTGGCTTGTCCAGGAAGGCAGCAGGACAGGAGGTGAGGTGTGAAGGGGGTGCCTGAGTTTACTTTTCACTGTTTCTTGATTCGCAGGAATTTGCAGATTCTCTTGGAATTCCGTTTTTGGAAACCAGTGCAAAGAACGCCACAAATGTAGAACAGTCTTTCATGACCATGGCTGCCGAGATTAAAAAACGAATGGGGCCGGGAGCGACAGCTGGTGGTGCAGAGAAGTCCAATGTTAAAATTCAGAGCACTCCAGTCAAGCAGTCTAGCGGAGGTTGCTGCTAAAACTCGCCTCCTCCCCCCCTTTTTGTCTCACAACAATGAATTTGCAATCTGAACCCAAGTGAAAAAAAAAAATAACAAAAAACAAAAAAATAAATAAAATAAATTGCCTGAATTGTACTGTATGTAGCTGCACTACAACAGATTCTTACCGTCTCCACAAAGGTCAGAGATTGTAAATGGTCAATACTGACTTTTTTTATTCCCTTGACTCAAGACAGCTAACTTCATTTTCAGAACTGTTTTAAACCTTTGTGTGCTGGTTTATAAAACGTGTAATCCTTGTTGCTTTTCCTGATACCAGACTGTTTCCTGTGGTTGGTTAGGATGTATTTTTGTTTTGATGTTTCTATTGGCATGTTTAGATGTCAGGTTTAGTCTTCTGAAGATGAAGTTCAGCCATTTTGTATCAAACAGCACAACAGTGTCTGTCACTTTCCATGCATAAAATTTAGTAAGATATATGTAAGATCTGATTTGCTAGTTCCTTCTTGTAGAATTATAAATGGAGAGATCACACTATCTGATTAATAGTTTCTTCATACTCTGCATATAATTTGTGGCTGCAGAATATTGTAATTTGTTGCACAATATGTAACAAAAAAACTGAAGAAATGTTTAATAAATATTGTACTTATTGGAAGTAATATCAAACTGTATGGTGATAAATATTGTCTTAATTTGTATGGCTAAGGGGGAAATCAGGCTTTGCATTGTGCACAAAACATATCCCTGTGCAGCCAGGGCTCTCAGACCTTCCCCGCCACTCAAAACTAGTGACTCTGGCCCCAAAGCCTGAGCGGTCGAGGTGCTTTTAAGGCCCAGGAGCTGCACCAGGAACACCCGGCCCAACCTTCACGGAGGCACCATGCCCTCTGAATGTACAACAGCTCCCCAGCTTAGTCTTGGAACTTAATTTATTTCTCAAGGACTCCAGAGGTAGGGGAGAGAAGTGTGTTTCCCCACCATGAACGACTTCAGCCTAACCTTGAGGTGGTATAACTTTCTACCAGTACATTATGTCTTTTCTATATACTGTTAATTCCATCCTCTTTTAATCAATACTCTTCTGACTTAGTGCAACAGCTTAGTTCCTATTCTGTGAGGCGTGTAGAGGCGTCAGGAGGATGAGATGGGGACAGCAATGTCCTCACCCCAGACTGTTGCTCAAAAATAGGCGCTATTTCTCGAACAACTTGGAACTAACCAGCAGCCAAGAGGTTGTTTTTTTTTTTTTTTTCTGGACAGTGTGTGATTCTTTGTACAGAGCTAATCAAATCATTAGTGCCTGATGTCTAGCTAAAAGCCACAGGAAAGCTAGCCTATAACACTTCCTATACATGTAAAATTGTTCAGCTTTATCTAAACTCAAATGTTCAGCTTATTCTGTAAATAGTCTCATGTTTGAAAGACCATGTAACATTCCCCTAGTAGTAAATACACCCTGTGATAGTTAAAAGAAAAAAAAAAAAATTATAGCCTAGGTATGTTGTGAGGTATAAACTAAAATTGGTGCAAATATCCTCTGACTTCTCTCTTTTTTTTTTCTTTTTTTTTTTTTTTTTGGCGGGGGGTTGACTTTGGCTAACGGCTTTCTTCAACATAGTTGCATCAATCGACAGGCAATTGTAATACATGAAGTATTGTCATGGTTCAGTTGAAACTCTTCCACTTGAGACCTTCACAATAAAGTGATGTGCTTTCTATTAGAGATGTGCTTGTTGGTATAATTCATTATATCTGATGTGACTCGCTCCTCCCCGAGAGCCGGGGATTTGGGGGCGAGGTGGTGGGGAGGGGGGGGCTGGTAGGAGTAGCCAGGGCTGCTCAGCTGAGGAAGCGAAGCAGAAGGAGGTGTGATTGAGGGTCAAACATCTTCCCTGCAGAGAAGTGCACAAATGAACTTAAATGTCAAGATGCCTGCTGCATACTATCCAAACCAATGTTAATATATACAGTAATAAAAGCATTGCAAAACGAGCTTGGGCTACACCCGGTGTGCGGTGGTTCTTTATTCTTCTTCCCCCTAAATCATGACGGTGTTAACGGTGTTGGAGCCCGGGGTGGAAGAGGGTAGAGCAAGGGCTGGAAGTCCTGCCTGAGGACACGGTTCCGCTCCTTCCTCCGAGCCCCAAGAGCAAATCCTGTGGCCACAGGACTCACAGGTGGCAGCGAAGGGACAGCACAGCCTTTCCCCACCCTGGATGCCCATGGGCACAGAAGCCAGAGAGAGCCCGATCTCCCTGGAACCACTTCCTAAAGCCTTTTTTTGTTGAACTCGCCCCCCCCATTTATAAATTGTCACCAGTAACTCAGCCATTAAAAAAAAATATAATAAAAAATAAAACTCCCTTTAAGCTGAGGAGGTGGGAGATGGGAGACTATAAAAAAAACCACCCCACCAAACCCCAAAAGCCAATGAATTCTCATTTGTAACTGAGTTTAAGCTTTCACCTTCTGAGGGGCAGGACAGAGACTTCTCCCTGTTCTGCCCAGAAGAACAGGAGGAACCGGTGTCTTCTGCACGAGAACACGATGGTCACTGTTTTCTTCACAGGTCAATCAAAGGCAAGTCCCCACACGCCGTAGCTGCCTGTAAATATCTTTTTTTGGGCCACTCACCTTGGGGATGCCCTTTTTTGGTGCCAAAAGTGTTGGGGGAGACCCTTCCTACCAGGCTGGGGTGGAGGGACCCTCCCTGAGCACACTCACCTCCTCGTTAGTTTATCCAGAGGTGCAGAACATCTGGGCTCTTTAAGAAAACTGACAGTTAAAGAAGCTCTGCTCCAGCGGGGACCAGTCCTTATAAACACGAGTTCACTTTGCTCCCAGGAGTTGCTATTTCTTGGCTTCTAGCACCTATTTTTTTAAAATTTTTTTGAAGAGCATTAAACTATGAGAACGCAGCTATTTAAAAATCACGCTTTTTTTTTACTTAGAAGTGAGTTACACAGCACACTATGGATTACTCAGTTAAAAAAAAAAACAACAAACCACAAAACAAAACAAGAAAACCCAGCGTGGTCCTGACATTTTTGCTAATGTGTGGGACAGGCCACGGCAGTTTAAAAAAAAAAAAAAAAAAAAAAAAAAGGAAAACTACATTAAAAAAAAAACCAAAACCAAAACAAAACCTAGAAAAAGTCTGAGCTGTAGGTTCCTCACCCACAAACCTCCCCAAACCAGGGTTAAGAAAAGCTCCCCACGGTGGTGATGACCATCCCAGGATGCTCCTCTGGCTTCGGTGGTTCAGGGCGGGCTCTGTGTGTCTCTCAGTCCTCCCGCAGCTCAGGGCTCGCAAAGCCTGGGGCCAACGGAGGCAGCACCTGAAATAAATAAAAGGGATTAATTTCGCCATCCTGCTACAGCTGCAACCCAAGAACATCCCCCTCCTCCCCTCCCTGCCCTGCTGGAGTCACCCCTTGGTAGCATATAAACATCAAAGGATGTATATGAACCTGCTTAAGTCCCCTAAGGATGTATATGAACCCGCTTAAGACCCTGTTATGCTCCTCTGAAGATCTGGAAATAATTTTTTTTTTCAGTTCCCCTCTCCAACTTCCAGTTTGAAGGCGCAGTGTGGGCCCTGGGGAAATCTGAGCTGATGGCGGAGGAGGAGGAGGAGGAGGAGCTGCTGGGAGCCTTCCTGTGGCTCTGGCCCCAGCGCTCTGCTCAGTGCCCCAGAGTTCCTTGGGGCAGACACCATCAGATGGTGGTTCCTCATCACTATCTGTGTGGCTGAGGGCGCTGGCAGCCCCCACCTGGCCCCCCCATTGAAGCCACTCTGACCCCCCCCAGCCTTGGCCACCACAGTCATCTCTGCCCCTTTACACTAACATGCCTGAAACACAGAATCACATGGGGTTGGAAGGGACCTCTGGAGATCATCCAGTCCAACCCCCTGCCAGAGCAGGTCCACCCAGAGCAGGTTGCACAGGAACGTGTCCAGGTGGATTTGGAATGTCTCCAGAGAAGGAGACTCCACCACCTCCCTGGGCAGCCTCTGCCAGGGCTCTGCCACCCTCACAGGAAAGAAGTTCCTCCTTGTGTTTAGATGGAACTTCCCATGTTCAAGTTTGTGCCCATTTCCTCTTGTCCTGTCCCTGGGCACCACTGAAAAAAGACCAGCCCCATCCTCCTGACACCCTCCCTTTAAGTATTTATAGGCATTGATCAGATCCCCCCTCAGCCTTCTCTTCTCCAGACTAAGAAGACCCAAGTCCCTCAGCTTCTCCTCGTAAGGGAGATGCTCCAGGCCCCTCATCTCTGTAGCCTCTGCTGTCCCCTCTCCAGCAGTTCCCTGTCCTTCTGGAACTGGGGAGCCCAGAACTGGACCCAGTGCTCCAGACAGGGCCTGGAGGGACAGACATGACTGTCTCTGCAGTTCTCTTTGAAGGAAGATGTTCAAAAAAAGTCAGCCAACAAGTTTTCTAGCCCATATTTTTACACCCGAATTCACTCACTTCCCTTCCCCACCGCGTGACGGCACGTGTACTTTTTTCTTTGAGGGGGAAAAAAAAAAAAACAAGTGGAGGAAAAAACCAAACCAAACCAACCAAAAAATTGCCCTTTCCCATCTGCCCTTGCTGTCCGAGTGATTTCGGCAGCCTCTGTGCCTGCTGTCCCCCCCTCCACCCCGAGTGACAGTGCCCTCCCTCCGAGGCACTGCCATCGCTCTCAGCCCCTTCTTGGATTTCATCAGCTGCTTCCCCAACACCCCGTCCCCCCCGAGACACGGTGAAAGATGGTGGGGCATCTATTTTGAGCTTGGCCTCACGTTCTCCTCTTAGGCTTTCCAAACACGAGATTAAAAGAAATGATGTTAAAGGAGGATACTTTGAGGAGGAACTTCTTTGAGGGTGGCAGAGCCCTGGAAGAGGCTGCCCAGGGAGGTGGTGGAGTCTCCATCTCTGGAGATGTTCAAACCCCACCTGGACACGTTCTTGTGCAACCTGCTCTGGGTGGACCTGCTCTGGCATATGGACTAGATGATCTAAAGAGGTCACTTCCAACCCCATATCATTCTGTGAAAGCCTGATGTACAGTGTCTGCTAATTTAAGTGTTTCTCTTCCTCCCCCTCCCTTTCTCTCCCCCCAACCCCAGAAAGGCTGGTCTGTGGCCCCACTTACCCACTGGGCAGCTGTCTGCTGCCACCCCCTGTCCTCCTGTCCGTCCTCCCCCTGACCCACAGCAGCTCGCACGGACTGGTACAGACGCTCCGCGTGGCTCTCCAGCTCCACCGACTGCTGGGCAATCAAACCCAGCGTGTCCTTCAGAGCTGGGGAGACAAAAGGCAGGATGAAGGCGGCAGCACCGCGACAGTTGGAAATCACCTCCTCCTCCCACATCTTCATCCCAGCAGGAAAACACTCAAGAAGGGACACAGAAGAGGTGGAATCACACCCACCTCCTACAAGGGAGGGTACGGAGCAAGGCAAGGGCCAAGGCAGGGTGCAGCTGAAAGCACTTGAGTGTTAATTGCATCAAACCCCCTCTCTGGGCAGCAGCAAAGGTGTGAAAACCCTTTTTGCTCCCATAGAGTCCCTGAATGAACAGCAGACTCTGCCCACCCAGGAGGGGTGACCAATTTTGGGGGGAGCAGACGCACCAGAGAATCACAGCACGGTTTGGGTTGGAAGGGACCTTGAAGATCATCCAGTTCCAACCCCCCTGCCCTGGGGGCACCTCCCACCAGACCAGGTTGCTCCAAGCCCCCTCCAACCTGGCCTTCAACCCCTCCAGGGATGGGGCAGCCACAGCTTCTCTGGGCAACCTGGGCCAGGCTCTCACCACCCTCACAGCAAACAAGTTCTTCCTGAAATGCCACCTAAATCTCCCCACTTTCAGTTTAAAACCCTTCCCCCTCCTCCTAAGGCTCCCCTCCCTGATCAAGACTCCCTCCCCATTTCTCCTGGAGCCCCTTTAGGGACTGGAAGGGGCTCTAGGGTCTCCCTGGAGCCTTCTCTTCTCCAGGCTGAACCCCCCCAACTCTCTCAGCCCCCCCTCCCAGCAGAGGGGCTCCAGCCCTCCCAGCATCTCCGGGGCCTCCTCTGGCCCTGCTCCAACAGGTCCAGTGTCCTTCTGCTGGTGGTGGCCCCAGAGCTGGAGGCAGCACTGGGAGGGTGTCTCCGCAGAGCAGAGCAGAGGGGCAGAATCCCCCCCTGGCCCTGCTGGCCACGGGGCTGGGGATGCAGCCCAGGGTATGGGGGGGCTTTCTGGGCTGGCAGCCCCCTGGCTGTGTCCGTGAGACACGGGCTCCCCCTCACCTGGGGAACTGGAGGCCATGCAGTCGAGGAGAGCCTCTCCCCTCTCCAGCACGCTCTCCGTCAGGCTCCGGTGGTTGGCTACGTCTTTCCTGAACTCCTGGGAAGGGAAGGAGAAGAGGAGGGCTGCTGAGAAAGGGTTTGGTTTTTATTTTTTGGGAAGAGACACACCTGGGGCAGGTTGCCTGGGGAGCTGTTTCCCCCAGGGAAGAGCAGCACCGGAGAGGGGGGAGAAGAACCAGTGGTGACACCCACCAAGCAGCGGCGCAGCGATGCCTTCAGGCTCTCGGCATCCGACGAGGGTGGCACCCAGCCCTCGGTGACATCTGCGACCCCGTAGAGCCAACGGATCAGCTCTTCCAGCTGGCAGCAAAACACCTGCTCAACCAAGCACAACGAGAGGGGGTTGGTTACTTATCAATTTCTGCAACAAAGTTGGAAGGGGGACGGCAAGAGGTGAGCTTCAGAAAGCCCCTGCCCCCTCCTGCTCCAAGAAGAACAACGGTAGGTCCTTCCACAGGCTGCAGGAACTCCCTCCCTAGCACAGGATGCTCAAGGCAGCTCTCGAGGACATCACTAATACTTCCAAAATTCACCAGGGAAGCCACAGGTCTCAGCATGGTTGTGCCCGCAGCTGCCTGCCAGGCTTGGTCCTTTCCTTCTACGGTTTCTCTGTTGTGCTCATGTCTCTTGGCCAGTTTCGTGCTTCCCAGGGAGACTGTGTTTTTATTCTCTTCAAACCTTGGGCCGAATGAAGAAGAGAGGGTGGGTTTTCTTACAACAAGCTGCAAAAGTTCCACGTATTTAATGGAGGTGGAACCGTGTCCCGCAGGCTGCAGCTCACTGGAGGGGAACAACGTTTCCTCTGAATCCCTGTAAGATTTTAAACTAGTAACTTGGCACATTTATTTCCTTTTAATAAATCCTCTGCTTCAGTGGCATCAATCAACATATTTCCCCTCACTTGAACCTATTTATTCTGTTATAGTTTGAATTCTTCTTGCTCTTACCAGCTCACCCTTACACACTGCTTTGCCTGCCTCCTACAGAAGACCCTCTTTCTTATCCTTGATTTATTCAAAGCGCTGGACAAAATCCTTTTTAATGGCTGCCCTCCGATCTGATTCTGCCCCGGAGAAACAAAATTTGGTTTTTTTCCAAATACATCATCTCTGGAGCCTTCCCCAGCTGTCAAAAATTACTATTGACTATCTTACCAGACTGTGTAACGATGCCACCTCCCCTCAGCACACACACACATCCCTCAGCGTGGGAAAACAAAGGTCAACAGGAAAAGGGGAAAAAAAAAAAGGCAAAAAGCAAATTAAACCCCTGAGTACACACATCCCCCAAAACTCACCGTGCAGCAAGAAGTAAGGGTCACCCTGGATGGTACCCAGAGGTGTTAGAAGCCAGTGGCACCCAGGCTGAAGGAAGGGGTTTGCCTCCACCACCTCCCAACCCAGGAGACACCCTCCTCCTCCTCCTTCTCCTCTTCTCTGGAGCCACGCCGTTAATTTGCAGTTGCTCTTCCCCAAGGGTTTGTCTCCTTCAATTAAGCGCTTTCATTTATTTTTAAAGCCTCTCAGTAAGGGATTATTTTTTTGTAAGAGGCTGCACGAAACCCAGGGGCCTCCAGCCCGGTCCTGCTCCTCGGGAGTCAGGGTTTTGCTCTAAAACTGAGCTGCTTCTCCCTGATTTGGGGGTGATAGATCTACCCTAGAGGGAGAAAAGACCCTTTTATATCAGAAGAGCTTGCCCTGCAAGAGGAAGGGATGAGGTGCTTCCAGCCACGTGCCACTGTAATAATAATTTACTCTCTTGCAAACAGCCCAGGCATCACTTGCCCGAAAAGTAAAAATTCACAAAAATAATCAGGAAAACTCTTCAGGGAAATCCTGCCAGTTCTGCCCAGACTTATTATACCCTTAAGGAGGACCCAGCCTGGGGCTGAAGGGAGGGTCTGGCCCCGCTGCATTAAATAGATGGAGCAATGGGGTGCAAAACCCTGGGTTTCACACCAGCCCAGCCCCAACTCCAGCTCCCAGCTCTTCCCGCTGCATTAAATAGATGGAGCAATGGGGTGCAAAACCCTGGGTTTCACACCAGCCCAGCCCCAACTCCAGCTCCCAGCTCTTCCCGCTGCTGCAGGACAGGGGGGACTGGGGGACACCAAGAGCCACGTGTCCCCCCGACGCCGAGCCCCAGGAAAAAACAGAGGGGCTCCCACTCCATCAGAAAAAAATTATCCGCTCTGGTGAGCATCCCTGCAGAAGGGGAAGCCTTAATTAATTGTGCCATGAAACACAGGGGCGTTTTATGGGAGATCTTCCCAAAATAAACTTCCTTTCTCATCTCAGCCTACCTTCACGCACTGGGCGAGGGACTCGCCTTCTTGGCTCCTCTTCGGATGCCCCTTCACCCGGGGTTCATTTAGGTGGGTCCCATCCAATGTGTCCCCCAGGCCGGTCGGAAGACGAAGCCCCCGCAGAGAATCCCTACGGATCTGGCTGCACCATCCGGGGTTTTCCCAGCTAAGTTTTTGAGACCTGCAGGGGTTCCACAGCCCAGGACGATCCTCAATATTCCCCTTTTTGTCCCTGCCACCCACTTCTCCCAAAAAAGCTGAAGCAGAGGGAAGGGGCTGCCTGCCCTGGCCGTGACCTGGCAGGTGATGGTGGTCCTGCCCGGGTGTCCTTATAGTTAAGGAAAGATCGGATAAGAAGTGAGCCAGCCTTTCCAGCTCCTGCAGTCTGGGAGGCAGGGAGAGGAATTCTTCATCCTCCTCCCACTCTTTCCTTAGAGGGAGGACTCGTGTTGTAGGTAAAAACCTACTCATGCTTTTCACCTGCCCTTTGTGGTTTGGGAAGGGGCTCCCTCGGCTACACCAGCTTCTCCCACCCGCAGCAGGGCGGCCAGGTGAGCCCAGCCCGGATGGCTCTGTCGTTACGTCCTCAGCAAGACCTCTAGAAGGTCGAGACGAAGCGCTCTTTGGAACACGTAAAGGTTCATAGGATGAGCCAGCTCCCGAGCAGCCCCTTTTTCCTGGCCCCGGGGTGGAGGACCTCGCTGCAGAGGCCACGAACCTCCGACAGCCGTTTTCTCCGCTTCCCCGAGCCTGCCCACCTCGGCTGTAGATGCTGGTGGACCTCGACGTGCCCTCGGGGGAAACGGAAAAGCTGTCCAAACCTATCCCTGAGTCATGGAAGAAAGGCTCCGGCACCTTTCCCAGCTTGTATCTTGGCTTCAGCGGGTAAGCATAATCCAGCAGGTCCTCGTACTCTTTATTGGGGTTCCAGTGGGGCGAGCGACGGTCAGGAGACGGGGGTAACGAATCCGGTATGGCACAGGCCCAGTAATCAGCTTGGTAGGACGACATCTCCCTGATGCGCTCTGTGATGGTGTGGTCATCAAGCAGGGGATGGAAGGGCTTGGGCACCTTGCCTTCCACCGCACCCCTCCGCCGACGGAAGGCACCACCGGTGGTGGCCGCAGGAGAAGACATCTCCCCGCCGGCTGGCAAGCTTTGGGACAGCTCTTCGGAGAGGCCGTTTTCTTCTGAAGACAGAGTGGAGAAGCTGGAGGTGGAGCGGCTCCGCAGGGCGCTCTCGGGGCTGAGAGGGGTTTGGGGCCTCAGGAGCTCCGTGGTGGAGGAAAATGGGGATCGAGGTCCCAGCCTTCGGCTCCGCCGGCCGGCGCGGGCGTCGTGGCTGCTGCCGGCGAGGAGACTCTCATCTGCAGAGCTGGGAGGGCTGGATGTTGGCTCCCAACGGCCTGATGTTTTCACCTGCTCCAGGATGGGGCCAGGAGGGGGGGAAAAGAAAGGGAGGGAGAAAGAGATGGATAAAATGAAGCCCAGCATCCAGATAAAAGGCTCCTCTGAGCCAGGAACATGGAGATAAAAGCTGGAAGGGGCACTGTTCCATCAGCAGGATAACAGGCAGCTGCCCAGAACCCAGAGCAGGGCTTGTTTTGAAGCTTGGGAAGCTTCACAAGTCCTTTGGCAGCAAGAGGCACCCATTTAAGGACCCTCAACTGGAGCAACTTCCCAGCTCCACAGCAGCGACACAGGAATGGAGCTCAGGAGTTTGAGCCCGAGCCCTTCCCCACCGCACGTGGGCAGGAGGAGATGGAAAGCCCTTGCTAGGACAGCCCAGACAACCAAGTCCCCACCTCGCCTGGGATTTCCCAGAGATGCAGCAACACCTGCACATACAACCCTCTCACCTGCTGCTCTCCGGAGGAGAGGCACCGGTCGCCACCACGACGATGCACATCACCATCACCTCTACAAATTAATGTCTCTGTCTCTGAGAGGCTTCCTCTTGCTCTGGGAGATCTGGACGTGGATTCTGAAGAGGCTTCTCGGTGGCAGCTCGAGCCCCCCTGGGTAACACCAGTGGCCAAGCGACTGCACCCGCTCATCGCCGCGCTCTCCGTCCCTTGCGGGCAGGGCTTGGCTTCCTCTGCCCCTAGAAGCCGTCGCAGGCTGCCCGCCAGCTCTGGGTAGTCCATCTCCACCTCTGCTGGCTCCCAGAGACCACCACCCTCCACCTTCCTGCTCAGCGAGGCTTCAGAAGATGATTTCCCCACATCCACAGCCATCGGGACAGAACTTCTACGAAGATGCCAATGCCAAGCCTTGGGTCTCTGAAATACACAACACACGGTGGTGGCAACTTAGCGTTCCCCCTCGTCTCCAGATCCAGTAAAGAAACTGGGTATAGTCTCATAACAAAGAGCTTAAGCATTTTTTGGGTCAGACCCCCAAAATTCATAAAGCCACATCTTGGTGCATCAAGTGGGACAGAGGAAAAGAGCAAACCCCCACGTCTCAGCAGGGCTTTCTGGTCTCAAGGACACGACGCACAGAGAAAAATCTAATTAAAGCTCCTGGCAGCACGGTGCGTAGGGACCTTATACCTTGCTGGGACGGTGCAACTCCCTCCTGAATTAATGGCCAATCTCACAAAAGTGCCTAATTAGCATGGCTGAGCCCTGAAGGCTGTCGGGGTGGAAAGGTGAGGGCTTTCTGAGAGACGAACTCCAAACCTTGCAGTGGAAGCCACCCAGAAGTGAAAAGTGTATATAATAAATTAGTCGATATAATAATAAATTAGTCTATATAATAAATCAGAGGGGGAGGCAGGAGGCTGCAAATCCCAAACCTGGCCCTTGGGCTCTGCAGCTCCCACAGGAGCTTGGATTCCAGGATTCCCTGATTCCAGGAGGTCTCATTTTGCAAACGCCAGCCAGAGCCGAGCGCCTCCCCTGCTTTTATTTGCCGAGCCAGCAGGACTCAAAAATACCCTCTCGACACCAAGGGCACCCGGCGGGCTCCCCAGGGAGCATCGAAACCACAAAGCCAACGTTGCTTTGGCGCTGCCAAAAAGCCTCTCACTCCAGGCTGGTGGCATCAGGAAAACCCTGGCAGAGTGGGTCTTTGCCCCTCCTCACCCAGCGACGGAGAGTACGGATGGTAAACTCAACTTAAAAAAAAACAAAGAAAGAGGGAAGAAAGCATTCCCAAACAATACTTGGAAGTGGGAAGCGAGCTGGTACTCACACCCTCCGCCGGCTCTTTCCTCGCGATCCGGTTTTATGATCCACCCCTCCCGGGGATGATGGGGGGGGTTTCCCACGGGAAGAGCCCGCGCCGGGGAACAAAGGGCGGCGAGGGGACGCGGTGGGTCTCCCGGGGAGACCCAATCCCTGCTGCCTTCCCTCCCCCCGACAGCTCCCCGTCGTCACACTGCTATATTCAGCTCAGCGGCGGCAGCGGCAGCTGCGGGGAGGGCAAATGAGGGATATGGTGAAGGGGAGGACTTTGTAGAGTAGGGTAGATGGTTGGACTCGACGATCCCAAGGGTCTCTTCCAACCTGAATGATTCTATGATTCAAGTAAAGCCTGAGCCCTGCCAGCACCCCCACCCAGGGAAGCCCTGTCCCGCTGCCCACACCGGGACTCGACCCCTTGATCCGCTGAAGTCGCTACCAAACACAACTCTACAGGCAGGGTTATCCCAAAATCAACACAATCCCTCTCTTTTTTCGCCCCCCCAAGATGGCAATAAATGTCACTGAGAAGCCTACCTTGCTGAATTCCCCACGTATGATACAACAATATACCTTTAAAAGTTGTTTCACACAAGGCAGATTTCGGATGCTAAGGGAAAGAGTGTCCTGAGTCACTCAGGAACCCGTGCTTTTCTCCCACACAGCGTGTGTAGGATTTGTCCATCATCTCCAAAATCTCCCAAATCCATGATTTCTCCAAAATCTATACCCATGGTATAGATTTTTAAGGCCAGAGGTCTCATACCCGCCAGCCTTCCCTGACCCCCCTCAGTTCTGTTCAGATCATCAGCCGAACAAGCATCAGCTGATTGAACACCAGATCCAACTTACAGGTGATTTAAACACCCAGAAAAACCCCAGAAAAATATATTAGTTCACTGGCTTTGAAAGCCAGGGCCTGGGCCGCGAGGAGACACCACTGGATTGTTGGATTCCTCCTCTTCCAACCCAAACCCACTGATCAGGAAGCCGCCGGGGCGACAAACCGTCTATCACATTCCAGCATCCATTTCAGCCCCTAAAAGTCTGGTTGAAATTCACCATTTTGGGCACTCTTCCCCCCCATGACAAGAAGCAGGCGATTCTGCAGAGAACGGTGGTCATTATCACACGAATGGGCATCTCTCCAGCTCTAATCCGCCCAAAAATGATCCAGGAAATATAAATCTGAAGGGAGAGGTGGGAGCTGGACACTCCTAATGTCCATAAAGGACACTCTTTTATGTCCTAAGATCCACCTGTAGTTGAGGACATACACACCTTGACAAGCAGTTCTGTGGTTGGGTAGCGATTTAAAAAAATATATAAAAGAAAGAAAAGCTTAACAAGGCACCAAATCAGACTTCAAAGTCTTAAATTGAAGGTGCGGTGATTAACAATCAACACCTCTTTATTTTAAGCAGATGCCACCTTAAATTCAAAGTGATGCTGAACATCATTAGCTCCATCGGACTCAGCGGCTTGAGTCACATGTGGGCCAGCCCGGTCAAAACAACTACAAAAAACATATAGAAGCTCAGCCTTAAATCTGAAAAGCACATGTTTAACAGCATTTAAAAAAAATAATTATTATAGGTCATAACCCATCTGGTATTTTTGTAACCACATGCAGGAGCGCAAAGGTTGAACTATTCTGAACTTCAAAGACCTTATGGTCTTTATATAAAATAAACAAATATATCTCAAAGAATATACTTGTTGACCTTATGGACGCAGCAGGCAGGGATATACCTTTCTATGACGCCTCTGGTCTTTAAAGAAAAGAGCAAAAGCCGGTGGCACAGGTTCATTAAATCTCCAGAAGTTCACTGGCAGCTAAAGAGAAACAGGGAAGGCTGCCAGCACGCAGGAGCGAGAGTAAATCCGCTTAATTTCACAATTTGTGAGACTATTCTAATGGCCACCAGAGGGTTTGCTGCCTTTTCAAGAGTCTCTAATCCAGGCAGCTAATTTCAATTAATTTCGGGGGTAGGGGTTGGGGGGAGCTGGACACCTAACCTCGCTTGGATGCGGGCTAGAGGAGGAAGTCGAACGCAACCTGTGTGCAGAAGGATCAGGCAAATAAAGTCACAGAATGACATGGGGTTGGAAGGGACCTCTGGAGATCATCCCGTCCAACCCCCTGCCAGAGCAGGTCCACCCAGAGCAGGCTGCACAGGAACTTGTCCAGGTGGGTTTGAATGTCTCCAGAGAAGGAGACTCCACCACCTCCCTGGGCAGCCTCTGCCAGGGCTCTGCCACCCTCAAAGTGAAGAAGTTCCTCCTCATCTTTAGGTAGAACTTGTTATATTCAAGTTTGTGCCCATTTCGTCTTGTCCTGTCCCTGGGCACCACTGAAAAAAGACCAGCCCCATCCTCTAATGCTTTCTAAGCATTGATCAGATCCCCCCTCAGCCTTCTCTTCTCCAGGCTAAAAAGCCCCAAGTCCCTCAGCCTCTCCTCACAAGGGAGAGGCTCCAGGCCCCTCATCATCTTTGTAGCCCTGAAATCAACATTTAAAAAGCAGAATGAAAACGCTACCGTCGCGAAGCGCAACTCTCAACTACAAGAGCATCTCGAAAGCAACGTGTCTCACCATCTTCCAACCAAAAAAACCCAAACAAACACCAAAATTCAGAGGTCGGGCTGACGATGAGATGAAGATCAACCCTCCCAATGGGGAGAAGTGACCTGTATCCCCAGGCAGGACTGACACCGTGGAGGAACCCTTGCTTTAGGTTCAGTGGAGACTTTCCACCGGCCTTAAAACCCCAGGGAAAAAGGGCCAGGAATCCCAGCTACACCCCAGCCTTCCATTGTCTCACCAGAAATGGAATACTCCTGGCTGATTTTTTAATTTCTTTTTTTCTTCTTTCCTTTTTTTCCCCGATAAGAGCTGAAGAACAGCTCTTCCACTCATTTCCCATGGTGGGGGGTGGGAAGGTCCAGGGGGACCTCTCCAGAAGAGTGACCCCTGAACTTTTTCAAGCTGCCAGAAGAAAAAAGCTGGTGAAGTGAAGACCTGGGGGACCCAACCCGGGGGGGTAGAGGGGACACACACACACAATGGGAGCTCTGTCCCACCGGGAGATGTCCCACTGATGTCCCCCCCAGCACGGGGACTTGGGCAAAGAGCAGCCAAGGCTCCTACGAGTCTCATTCTCCCCCCAGTTCGGGTGTTGTTGAGGAAAAGGTGCTTTTTTTTGGTATTTTTTTTGGGGGGGGGGACACCAACCCACCGTTCTCGCGTTTCAGGCCGGCGGGGACCGAGTTCTGGCGGATTTGGGGGGGTTTCCGCCCCTTCCCTCGCATCTTTTCTGCCCGAAAAAAAGCCTTTCCGCAGCTGAAATAAAAATAGATACATAAACAAATAGCCAATTAACGTCAAAATAACTTAAAACGAGGAAATAAAGGCCATAAAAGCCCAGGAGGCACTGCACTCCCGGGGATGCCCTGACCCCCCCCTGTTCAAAAAAAGTCAGCCAACAAGTTTTCTAGCCCATATTTTTACACCCGAATTCACTCACTTCCCTTCCCCACCGCGTGACGGCACGTGTACTTTTTTCTTTGAGGGGGAAAAAAAAAAAAACAAGTGGAGGAAAAAACCAAACCAAACCAACCAAAAAATTGCCCTTTCCCATCTGCCCTTGCTGTCCGAGTGATTTCGGCAGCCTCTGTGCCTGCTGTCCCCCCCTCCACCCCGAGTGACAGTGCCCTCCCTCCGAGGCACTGCCATCGCTCTCAGCCCCTTCTTGGATTTCATCAGCTGCTTCCCCAACACCCCGTCCCCCCCGAGACACGGTGAAAGATGGTGGGGCATCTATTTTGAGCTTGGCCTCACGTTCTCCTCTTAGGCTTTCCAAACACGAGATTAAAAGAAATGATGTTAAAGGAGGATACTTTGAGGAGGAACTTCTTTGAGGGTGGCAGAGCCCTGGAAGAGGCTGCCCAGGGAGGTGGTGGAGTCTCCATCTCTGGAGATGTTCAAACCCCACCTGGACACGTTCTTGTGCAACCTGCTCTGGGTGGACCTGCTCTGGCATCTGGACTAGATGATCTCAAGAGGTCCCTTCCAACCCCATATCATTCTGTGAAAGCCTGATGTACAGTGTCTGCTAATTTAAGTGTTTCTCTTCCTCCCCCTCCCTTTCTCTCCCCCCAACCCCAGAAAGGCTGGTCTGTGGCCCCACTTACCCACTGGGCAGCTGTCTGCTGCCACCCCCTGTCCTCCTGTCCGTCCTCCCCCTGACCCACAGCAGCTCGCACGGACTGGTACAGACGCTCCGCGTGGCTCTCCAGCTCCACCGACTGCTGGGCAATCAAACCCAGCGTGTCCTTCAGAGCTGGGGAGACAAAAGGCAGGATGAAGGCGGCAGCACCGCGACAGTTGGAAATCACCTCCTCCTCCCACATCTTCATCCCAGCAGGAAAACACTCAAGAAGGGACACAGAAGAGGTGGAATCACACCCACCTCCTACAAGGGAGGGTACGGAGCAAGGCAAGGGCCAAGGCAGGGTGCAGCTGAAAGCACTTGAGTGTTAATTGCATCAAACCCCCTCTCTGGGCAGCAGCAAAGGTGTGAAAACCCTTTTTGCTCCCATAGAGTCCCTGAATGAACAGCAGACTCTGCCCACCCAGGAGGGGTGACCAATTTTGGGGGGAGCAGACGCACCAGAGAATCACAGCACGGTTTGGGTTGGAAGGGACCTTGAAGATCATCCAGTTCCAACCCCCCTGCCCTGGGGGCACCTCCCACCAGACCAGGTTGCTCCAAGCCCCCTCCAACCTGGCCTTCAACCCCTCCAGGGATGGGGCAGCCACAGCTTCTCTGGGCAACCTGGGCCAGGCTCTCACCACCCTCACAGCAAACAAGTTCTTCCTGAAATGCCACCTAAATCTCCCCACTTTCAGTTTAAAACCCTTCCCCCTCCTCCTAAGGCTCCCCTCCCTGATCAAGACTCCCTCCCCATTTCTCCTGGAGCCCCTTTAGGGACTGGAAGGGGCTCTAGGGTCTCCCTGGAGCCTTCTCTTCTCCAGGCTGAACCCCCCCAACTCTCTCAGCCCCCCCTCCCAGCAGAGGGGCTCCAGCCCTCCCAGCATCTCCGGGGCCTCCTCTGGCCCTGCTCCAACAGGTCCAGTGTCCTTCTGCTGGTGGTGGCCCCAGAGCTGGAGGCAGCACTGGGAGGGTGTCTCCGCAGAGCAGAGCAGAGGGGCAGAATCCCCCCCTGGCCCTGCTGGCCACGGGGCTGGGGATGCAGCCCAGGGTATGGGGGGGCTTTCTGGGCTGGCAGCCCCCTGGCTGTGTCCGTGAGACACGGGCTCCCCCTCACCTGGGGAACTGGAGGCCATGCAGTCGAGGAGAGCCTCTCCCCTCTCCAGCACGCTCTCCGTCAGGCTCCGGTGGTTGGCTACGTCTTTCCTGAACTCCTGGGAAGGGAAGGAGAAGAGGAGGGCTGCTGAGAAAGGGTTTGGTTTTTATTTTTTGGGAAGAGACACACCTGGGGCAGGTTGCCTGGGGAGCTGTTTCCCCCAGGGAAGAGCAGCACCGGAGAGGGGGGAGAAGAACCAGTGGTGACACCCACCAAGCAGCGGCGCAGCGATGCCTTCAGGCTCTCGGCATCCGACGAGGGTGGCACCCAGCCCTCGGTGACATCTGCGACCCCGTAGAGCCAACGGATCAGCTCTTCCAGCTGGCAGCAAAACACCTGCTCAACCAAGCACAACGAGAGGGGGTTGGTTACTTATCAATTTCTGCAACAAAGTTGGAAGGGGGACGGCAAGAGGTGAGCTTCAGAAAGCCCCTGCCCCCTCCTGCTCCAAGAAGAACAACGGTAGGTCCTTCCACAGGCTGCAGGAACTCCCTCCCTAGCACAGGATGCTCAAGGCAGCTCTCGAGGACATCACTAATACTTCCAAAATTCACCAGGGAAGCCACAGGTCTCAGCATGGTTGTGCCCGCAGCTGCCTGCCAGGCTTGGTCCTTTCCTTCTACGGTTTCTCTGTTGTGCTCATGTCTCTTGGCCAGTTTCGTGCTTCCCAGGGAGACTGTGTTTTTATTCTCTTCAAACCTTGGGCCGAATGAAGAAGAGAGGGTGGGTTTTCTTACAACAAGCTGCAAAAGTTCCACGTATTTAATGGAGGTGGAACCGTGTCCCGCAGGCTGCAGCTCACTGGAGGGGAACAACGTTTCCTCTGAATCCCTGTAAGATTTTAAACTAGTAACTTGGCACATTTATTTCCTTTTAATAAATCCTCTGCTTCAGTGGCATCAATCAACATATTTCCCCTCACTTGAACCTATTTATTCTGTTATAGTTTGAATTCTTCTTGCTCTTACCAGCTCACCCTTACACACTGCTTTGCCTGCCTCCTACAGAAGACCCTCTTTCTTATCCTTGATTTATTCAAAGCGCTGGACAAAATCCTTTTTAATGGCTGCCCTCCGATCTGATTCTGCCCCGGAGAAACAAAATTTGGTTTTTTTCCAAATACATCATCTCTGGAGCCTTCCCCAGCTGTCAAAAATTACTATTGACTATCTTACCAGACTGTGTAACGATGCCACCTCCCCTCAGCACACACACACATCCCTCAGCGTGGGAAAACAAAGGTCAACAGGAAAAGGGGAAAAAAAAAAAGGCAAAAAGCAAATTAAACCCCTGAGTACACACATCCCCCAAAACTCACCGTGCAGCAAGAAGTAAGGGTCACCCTGGATGGTACCCAGAGGTGTTAGAAGCCAGTGGCACCCAGGCTGAAGGAAGGGGTTTGCCTCCACCACCTCCCAACCCAGGAGACACCCTCCTCCTCCTCCTTCTCCTCTTCTCTGGAGCCACGCCGTTAATTTGCAGTTGCTCTTCCCCAAGGGTTTGTCTCCTTCAATTAAGCGCTTTCATTTATTTTTAAAGCCTCTCAGTAAGGGATTATTTTTTTGTAAGAGGCTGCACGAAACCCAGGGGCCTCCAGCCCGGTCCTGCTCCTCGGGAGTCAGGGTTTTGCTCTAAAACTGAGCTGCTTCTCCCTGATTTGGGGGTGATAGATCTACCCTAGAGGGAGAAAAGACCCTTTTATATCAGAAGAGCTTGCCCTGCAAGAGGAAGGGATGAGGTGCTTCCAGCCACGTGCCACTGTAATAATAATTTACTCTCTTGCAAACAGCCCAGGCATCACTTGCCCGAAAAGTAAAAATTCACAAAAATAATCAGGAAAACTCTTCAGGGAAATCCTGCCAGTTCTGCCCAGACTTATTATACCCTTAAGGAGGACCCAGCCTGGGGCTGAAGGGAGGGTCTGGCCCCGCTGCATTAAATAGATGGAGCAATGGGGTGCAAAACCCTGGGTTTCACACCAGCCCAGCCCCAACTCCAGCTCCCAGCTCTTCCCGCTGCATTAAATAGATGGAGCAATGGGGTGCAAAACCCTGGGTTTCACACCAGCCCAGCCCCAACTCCAGCTCCCAGCTCTTCCCGCTGCTGCAGGACAGGGGGGACTGGGGGACACCAAGAGCCACGTGTCCCCCCGACGCCGAGCCCCAGGAAAAAACAGAGGGGCTCCCACTCCATCAGAAAAAAATTATCCGCTCTGGTGAGCATCCCTGCAGAAGGGGAAGCCTTAATTAATTGTGCCATGAAACACAGGGGCGTTTTATGGGAGATCTTCCCAAAATAAACTTCCTTTCTCATCTCAGCCTACCTTCACGCACTGGGCGAGGGACTCGCCTTCTTGGCTCCTCTTCGGATGCCCCTTCACCCGGGGTTCATTTAGGTGGGTCCCATCCAATGTGTCCCCCAGGCCGGTCGGAAGACGAAGCCCCCGCAGAGAATCCCTACGGATCTGGCTGCACCATCCGGGGTTTTCCCAGCTAAGTTTTTGAGACCTGCAGGGGTTCCACAGCCCAGGACGATCCTCAATATTCCCCTTTTTGTCCCTGCCACCCACTTCTCCCAAAAAAGCTGAAGCAGAGGGAAGGGGCTGCCTGCCCTGGCCGTGACCTGGCAGGTGATGGTGGTCCTGCCCGGGTGTCCTTATAGTTAAGGAAAGATCGGATAAGAAGTGAGCCAGCCTTTCCAGCTCCTGCAGTCTGGGAGGCAGGGAGAGGAATTCTTCATCCTCCTCCCACTCTTTCCTTAGAGGGAGGACTCGTGTTGTAGGTAAAAACCTACTCATGCTTTTCACCTGCCCTTTGTGGTTTGGGAAGGGGCTCCCTCGGCTACACCAGCTTCTCCCACCCGCAGCAGGGCGGCCAGGTGAGCCCAGCCCGGATGGCTCTGTCGTTACGTCCTCAGCAAGACCTCTAGAAGGTCGAGACGAAGCGCTCTTTGGAACACGTAAAGGTTCATAGGATGAGCCAGCTCCCGAGCAGCCCCTTTTTCCTGGCCCCGGGGTGGAGGACCTCGCTGCAGAGGCCACGAACCTCCGACAGCCGTTTTCTCCGCTTCCCCGAGCCTGCCCACCTCGGCTGTAGATGCTGGTGGACCTCGACGTGCCCTCGGGGGAAACGGAAAAGCTGTCCAAACCTATCCCTGAGTCATGGAAGAAAGGCTCCGGCACCTTTCCCAGCTTGTATCTTGGCTTCAGCGGGTAAGCATAATCCAGCAGGTCCTCGTACTCTTTATTGGGGTTCCAGTGGGGCGAGCGACGGTCAGGAGACGGGGGTAACGAATCCGGTATGGCACAGGCCCAGTAATCAGCTTGGTAGGACGACATCTCCCTGATGCGCTCTGTGATGGTGTGGTCATCAAGCAGGGGATGGAAGGGCTTGGGCACCTTGCCTTCCACCGCACCCCTCCGCCGACGGAAGGCACCACCGGTGGTGGCCGCAGGAGAAGACATCTCCCCGCCGGCTGGCAAGCTTTGGGACAGCTCTTCGGAGAGGCCGTTTTCTTCTGAAGACAGAGTGGAGAAGCTGGAGGTGGAGCGGCTCCGCAGGGCGCTCTCGGGGCTGAGAGGGGTTTGGGGCCTCAGGAGCTCCGTGGTGGAGGAAAATGGGGATCGAGGTCCCAGCCTTCGGCTCCGCCGGCCGGCGCGGGCGTCGTGGCTGCTGCCGGCGAGGAGACTCTCATCTGCAGAGCTGGGAGGGCTGGATGTTGGCTCCCAACGGCCTGATGTTTTCACCTGCTCCAGGATGGGGCCAGGAGGGGGGGAAAAGAAAGGGAGGGAGAAAGAGATGGATAAAATGAAGCCCAGCATCCAGATAAAAGGCTCCTCTGAGCCAGGAACATGGAGATAAAAGCTGGAAGGGGCACTGTTCCATCAGCAGGATAACAGGCAGCTGCCCAGAACCCAGAGCAGGGCTTGTTTTGAAGCTTGGGAAGCTTCACAAGTCCTTTGGCAGCAAGAGGCACCCATTTAAGGACCCTCAACTGGAGCAACTTCCCAGCTCCACAGCAGCGACACAGGAATGGAGCTCAGGAGTTTGAGCCCGAGCCCTTCCCCACCGCACGTGGGCAGGAGGAGATGGAAAGCCCTTGCTAGGACAGCCCAGACAACCAAGTCCCCACCTCGCCTGGGATTTCCCAGAGATGCAGCAACACCTGCACATACAACCCTCTCACCTGCTGCTCTCCGGAGGAGAGGCACCGGTCGCCACCACGACGATGCACATCACCATCACCTCTACAAATTAATGTCTCTGTCTCTGAGAGGCTTCCTCTTGCTCTGGGAGATCTGGACGTGGATTCTGAAGAGGCTTCTCGGTGGCAGCTCGAGCCCCCCTGGGTAACACCAGTGGCCAAGCGACTGCACCCGCTCATCGCCGCGCTCTCCGTCCCTTGCGGGCAGGGCTTGGCTTCCTCTGCCCCTAGAAGCCGTCGCAGGCTGCCCGCCAGCTCTGGGTAGTCCATCTCCACCTCTGCTGGCTCCCAGAGACCACCACCCTCCACCTTCCTGCTCAGCGAGGCTTCAGAAGATGATTTCCCCACATCCACAGCCATCGGGACAGAACTTCTACGAAGATGCCAATGCCAAGCCTTGGGTCTCTGAAATACACAACACACGGTGGTGGCAACTTAGCGTTCCCCCTCGTCTCCAGATCCAGTAAAGAAACTGGGTATAGTCTCATAACAAAGAGCTTAAGCATTTTTTGGGTCAGACCCCCAAAATTCATAAAGCCACATCTTGGTGCATCAAGTGGGACAGAGGAAAAGAGCAAACCCCCACGTCTCAGCAGGGCTTTCTGGTCTCAAGGACACGACGCACAGAGAAAAATCTAATTAAAGCTCCTGGCAGCACGGTGCGTAGGGACCTTATACCTTGCTGGGACGGTGCAACTCCCTCCTGAATTAATGGCCAATCTCACAAAAGTGCCTAATTAGCATGGCTGAGCCCTGAAGGCTGTCGGGGTGGAAAGGTGAGGGCTTTCTGAGAGACGAACTCCAAACCTTGCAGTGGAAGCCACCCAGAAGTGAAAAGTGTATATAATAAATTAGTCGATATAATAATAAATTAGTCTATATAATAAATCAGAGGGGGAGGCAGGAGGCTGCAAATCCCAAACCTGGCCCTTGGGCTCTGCAGCTCCCACAGGAGCTTGGATTCCAGGATTCCCTGATTCCAGGAGGTCTCATTTTGCAAACGCCAGCCAGAGCCGAGCGCCTCCCCTGCTTTTATTTGCCGAGCCAGCAGGACTCAAAAATACCCTCTCGACACCAAGGGCACCCGGCGGGCTCCCCAGGGAGCATCGAAACCACAAAGCCAACGTTGCTTTGGCGCTGCCAAAAAGCCTCTCACTCCAGGCTGGTGGCATCAGGAAAACCCTGGCAGAGTGGGTCTTTGCCCCTCCTCACCCAGCGACGGAGAGTACGGATGGTAAACTCAACTTAAAAAAAAACAAAGAAAGAGGGAAGAAAGCATTCCCAAACAATACTTGGAAGTGGGAAGCGAGCTGGTACTCACACCCTCCGCCGGCTCTTTCCTCGCGATCCGGTTTTATGATCCACCCCTCCCGGGGATGATGGGGGGGGTTTCCCACGGGAAGAGCCCGCGCCGGGGAACAAAGGGCGGCGAGGGGACGCGGTGGGTCTCCCGGGGAGACCCAATCCCTGCTGCCTTCCCTCCCCCCGACAGCTCCCCGTCGTCACACTGCTATATTCAGCTCAGCGGCGGCAGCGGCAGCTGCGGGGAGGGCAAATGAGGGATATGGTGAAGGGGAGGACTTTGTAGAGTAGGGTAGATGGTTGGACTCGACGATCCCAAGGGTCTCTTCCAACCTGAATGATTCTATGATTCAAGTAAAGCCTGAGCCCTGCCAGCACCCCCACCCAGGGAAGCCCTGTCCCGCTGCCCACACCGGGACTCGACCCCTTGATCCGCTGAAGTCGCTACCAAACACAACTCTACAGGCAGGGTTATCCCAAAATCAACACAATCCCTCTCTTTTTTCGCCCCCCCAAGATGGCAATAAATGTCACTGAGAAGCCTACCTTGCTGAATTCCCCACGTATGATACAACAATATACCTTTAAAAGTTGTTTCACACAAGGCAGATTTCGGATGCTAAGGGAAAGAGTGTCCTGAGTCACTCAGGAACCCGTGCTTTTCTCCCACACAGCGTGTGTAGGATTTGTCCATCATCTCCAAAATCTCCCAAATCCATGATTTCTCCAAAATCTATACCCATGGTATAGATTTTTAAGGCCAGAGGTCTCATACCCGCCAGCCTTCCCTGACCCCCCTCAGTTCTGTTCAGATCATCAGCCGAACAAGCATCAGCTGATTGAACACCAGATCCAACTTACAGGTGATTTAAACACCCAGAAAAACCCCAGAAAAATATATTAGTTCACTGGCTTTGAAAGCCAGGGCCTGGGCCGCGAGGAGACACCACTGGATTGTTGGATTCCTCCTCTTCCAACCCAAACCCACTGATCAGGAAGCCGCCGGGGCGACAAACCGTCTATCACATTCCAGCATCCATTTCAGCCCCTAAAAGTCTGGTTGAAATTCACCATTTTGGGCACTCTTCCCCCCCATGACAAGAAGCAGGCGATTCTGCAGAGAACGGTGGTCATTATCACACGAATGGGCATCTCTCCAGCTCTAATCCGCCCAAAAATGATCCAGGAAATATAAATCTGAAGGGAGAGGTGGGAGCTGGACACTCCTAATGTCCATAAAGGACACTCTTTTATGTCCTAAGATCCACCTGTAGTTGAGGACATACACACCTTGACAAGCAGTTCTGTGGTTGGGTAGCGATTTAAAAAAATATATAAAAGAAAGAAAAGCTTAACAAGGCACCAAATCAGACTTCAAAGTCTTAAATTGAAGGTGCGGTGATTAACAATCAACACCTCTTTATTTTAAGCAGATGCCACCTTAAATTCAAAGTGATGCTGAACATCATTAGCTCCATCGGACTCAGCGGCTTGAGTCACATGTGGGCCAGCCCGGTCAAAACAACTACAAAAAACATATAGAAGCTCAGCCTTAAATCTGAAAAGCACATGTTTAACAGCATTTAAAAAAAATAATTATTATAGGTCATAACCCATCTGGTATTTTTGTAACCACATGCAGGAGCGCAAAGGTTGAACTATTCTGAACTTCAAAGACCTTATGGTCTTTATATAAAATAAACAAATATATCTCAAAGAATATACTTGTTGACCTTATGGACGCAGCAGGCAGGGATATACCTTTCTATGACGCCTCTGGTCTTTAAAGAAAAGAGCAAAAGCCGGTGGCACAGGTTCATTAAATCTCCAGAAGTTCACTGGCAGCTAAAGAGAAACAGGGAAGGCTGCCAGCACGCAGGAGCGAGAGTAAATCCGCTTAATTTCACAATTTGTGAGACTATTCTAATGGCCACCAGAGGGTTTGCTGCCTTTTCAAGAGTCTCTAATCCAGGCAGCTAATTTCAATTAATTTCGGGGGTAGGGGTTGGGGGGAGCTGGACACCTAACCTCGCTTGGATGCGGGCTAGAGGAGGAAGTCGAACGCAACCTGTGTGCAGAAGGATCAGGCAAATAAAGTCACAGAATGACATGGGGTTGGAAGGGACCTCTGGAGATCATCCCGTCCAACCCCCTGCCAGAGCAGGTCCACCCAGAGCAGGCTGCACAGGAACTTGTCCAGGTGGGTTTGAATGTCTCCAGAGAAGGAGACTCCACCACCTCCCTGGGCAGCCTCTGCCAGGGCTCTGCCACCCTCAAAGTGAAGAAGTTCCTCCTCATCTTTAGGTAGAACTTGTTATATTCAAGTTTGTGCCCATTTCGTCTTGTCCTGTCCCTGGGCACCACTGAAAAAAGACCAGCCCCATCCTCTAATGCTTTCTAAGCATTGATCAGATCCCCCCTCAGCCTTCTCTTCTCCAGGCTAAAAAGCCCCAAGTCCCTCAGCCTCTCCTCACAAGGGAGAGGCTCCAGGCCCCTCATCATCTTTGTAGCCCTGAAATCAACATTTAAAAAGCAGAATGAAAACGCTACCGTCGCGAAGCGCAACTCTCAACTACAAGAGCATCTCGAAAGCAACGTGTCTCACCATCTTCCAACCAAAAAAACCCAAACAAACACCAAAATTCAGAGGTCGGGCTGACGATGAGATGAAGATCAACCCTCCCAATGGGGAGAAGTGACCTGTATCCCCAGGCAGGACTGACACCGTGGAGGAACCCTTGCTTTAGGTTCAGTGGAGACTTTCCACCGGCCTTAAAACCCCAGGGAAAAAGGGCCAGGAATCCCAGCTACACCCCAGCCTTCCATTGTCTCACCAGAAATGGAATACTCCTGGCTGATTTTTTAATTTCTTTTTTTCTTCTTTCCTTTTTTTCCCCGATAAGAGCTGAAGAACAGCTCTTCCACTCATTTCCCATGGTGGGGGGTGGGAAGGTCCAGGGGGACCTCTCCAGAAGAGTGACCCCTGAACTTTTTCAAGCTGCCAGAAGAAAAAAGCTGGTGAAGTGAAGACCTGGGGGACCCAACCCGGGGGGGTAGAGGGGACACACACACACAATGGGAGCTCTGTCCCACCGGGAGATGTCCCACTGATGTCCCCCCCAGCACGGGGACTTGGGCAAAGAGCAGCCAAGGCTCCTACGAGTCTCATTCTCCCCCCAGTTCGGGTGTTGTTGAGGAAAAGGTGCTTTTTTTTGGTATTTTTTTTGGGGGGGGGGACACCAACCCACCGTTCTCGCGTTTCAGGCCGGCGGGGACCGAGTTCTGGCGGATTTGGGGGGGTTTCCGCCCCTTCCCTCGCATCTTTTCTGCCCGAAAAAAAGCCTTTCCGCAGCTGAAATAAAAATAGATACATAAACAAATAGCCAATTAACGTCAAAATAACTTAAAACGAGGAAATAAAGGCCATAAAAGCCCAGGAGGCACTGCACTCCCGGGGATGCCCTGACCCCCCCC